CTCACACACAGGACATTGAAGCTCCCGGCATTCCTTCAGAAGCTGTCCATCTGCGCCTGCTAGTCGTAGCATTCTCTCCAGGGTCTCGGGGCTCGGATGTCCAAGCCTCCGATGAACCATCATCAGCCTCAGCCTGTCTCTGGTCTGCTTCTGCTGTCGCTGGGCCTCCTCAGGCACTTGCTCCTCTCTGGACATCTCCTCAAGCTCTTCCTGCAGCATCCTCTGTTCCAGATCTTCCTCTGGTACCACCTCTTCTTCATTCTCAAACTCTTCGAAGCGCTCCTCCGGCACATGAGTGCCTTCCACAAATATTTCTGGCCTGCGCGTTCCTTTCAGGTACTCCTCTGCACCTATCACCACCTCCTGAGCAAAGTCAGGCGTGTAACCGCCTGCGAACTCTGACAGTGATCTCCATTTCCCTCGCCACTTGAAGTTGCCGAAGATGTGCGTGTGCTTGTGGCTTCCTTTGCATCTCCGGCTGCAGCGTCTGATCACTTCTGGCGTTCCCACCAGCCTGGTTGGCTTCTTCATAAAGCGGCGGGCTCCTTCTCCAGCAGGCTTCCGCAGGCCAAATTGGCACATGTCCGACACCGTCTCCGCCATGCCCTTGAAGCCTTCGACAATGGCGGGCTCTTGCCAAGCCTTCGACAGCCTAGGATTTTCTCCTAAAACGGCTCCTCCTCTGGCTCTCTGCCTCCTCACAGCCTCACCAACGAACTCCAGCATAGGGCGATGTTCATTTCTCTTCTGCGCCAGTCGCCTCACCGCCTCCGGGGTTCTGCAGTTCAGATTCTGCAACGAGCTCCAGGGGCTGCAAGGCCATGCCAGCACCAACAGATCCGGAGCCTGGGAGTCGATATAGTTGTGTGCCTCCTCTCTCGTCTGGGGATCACGAAGATCCCAACCCGGCAAGGTCACCGGCTCGCACATGTGCCAGCCTCTTTCCAAGGCCATCAGGCTAATGCAGCACGTCCAAGTGAACACCTCCAGGACCTTCCACTTTTTCCTCAAAGGAAGTGAGCTGGGCCGCAAGCATGGGTCCTGGGGCTGCTGGTTCTGCTGCTGGCGTCTGCGCACCTCTTCTTCTCCGGCCCTCCGGATCTCCCTTGCCGCACGGCCACACTTGGACCGCATACTTTTGCTGAGAGACTTCGTGTTGCCGGCCACCAGCACGTCAATGTCTTCAGCAGCATCATCCTTCTCTTCCTCACTGTTCTCACTGCCACTTTCAGTGAACACCTCTATGCCAAACTCGTGAGAGGTAGACGAGCACCTGTCTTCGTCTTCTCCATCGCCGTCCTCAACGGGCTCTGACTCCTCGATGTCGCAGACGGGGAACTCGCCTAGTTCAGCCTCAAGGTCTGCCAACAACTCATCCTCAAGACCGGCGTCTCTGGACTCCTCCGAAGTCTCCTCAGTCTCCTCTCCCGAAGTGTCCTCCGACTTGTCCTGCACAAAGGCAAACGTGTGTGGCATCCTCACCAGCACGTCCTTCAATCTCTTCACCTCCGGCTGCTCCCAGTAATCGCCCCTGATCTCACCAAAGTCCAGCAGGTCCACAGCGGGATGCCTGGTGTTGGTCAGCCTCATCTCTCTGGTGATGCCGAAGAGCGTCATCTGGCGAGTGCCGAAGTTGAACATACAGCTCCACCTCGACAGTTCACTGGGTCCGAGCAACCCAGGGCAGTTGCTTGCGTCTCCATCAACACGTGATATCCTCACTGCCGTGTTCACCCCGAAGATGCCCACCGGGTAAATATATGCCCGGTGGCTCCTGCAAGCCTCACCTGCTCCAAACTGGAACACCTCCTGCTCTGGCTCCTCAAACCACTGCAAACCGCGAGCCTTGAGCTCCTTCTGCAAGCTCTCATGCCAAGCACCTCCTCCAACAGCCGTTCGACAGCCAGTGTCTGCTATCGCCTGCCCCGGACAGATGCCGGATACATAGATCTCCTCCAGATGCTGCTGGCCGCTCACCAGGGCACCATGACGGTCAGAGAAATACAGCACGTGCTTCAGGTCGCACAGTCGGCATCTCCCATAGTGGCCCTCCTGATTGGCAGTCCACTTGATATGCTCGAAGGGATGCTTGCATGCTGCTTGCCGCTCTGTTGGAGTTGGGGAGCACCTAGATGGAGTAAACTGTCCATCCCTCACTTGGCGCTGATAGAGCTCGTACCGGAAATCCCTCAGCGCAGCCTCTCTCGCGTGCTTCGGCAACTCTTTGGTAACGGGCGCCGTCACCTTGCGGTTGACGTTTGGAGTGATCGGCCCCTGCGTCCCTGGTGCAGAACTTGAGCTCGCCGCACCACTCCTTGAAAGCTGCTCTTCCAGCCTCAGAATCCGGTGTCGCTCCACCGAAGTCCAAGCCAAATGCTCCTCCTCAATCTCCAGCGCTTTCCTCAGCTCTTTCTTCTCTTCCTTTGTCATCTTATCCAGCACCGAGATGACCTCCTTGGGCTTCAGCTTTATCTTCTCGTCTTGCTTCTTCCCCGGCTTCATACCCGCAGCTTCCTTGACTGTGCTCCTCTTCACGTCGTAGGTGTAGCTGGGGGTCTCCTCCTCATCGTCTGTCTCCTCAACGGTGAGAATCTCCTCATTGTCTTCTCCTACCAGCCCCCAACCTCTCTTATTCTCCGACATCCTGTCGTCTCGGTACAGGTTCTGCCCGCAGTTGCTGCAGAACTTGCAGGTGTCTGCTGTCGGCCACCTGCACCTTGGGCACACCCCCATTGGCGGCGTCTCCTCCTGGTTGTAGCCACCGCCGACCATGAAGGTGAAGTGCACCTGATTGGGAGTGCTGGCAGCAGAATCACTCTTTCGTGAGCTCCTGTCTGAGCTCCAAGGATGCTTCTTGGCGGTGTGTGGTTTATCCTTGCCGCTCTGAACATTCGGGCACTCCGGATCTCCTCGCCAGTGTCCGACCCGTCCACAGCTCGCACACGAAGATTTCTTCTTCCTCACATCAGGGGCAGCTGAAGCCGAACCGGGGGTTCTCCATCCTCGTGCTTTCTTGTGGTCGGCCTGTCTGGCCTTTGCTTTCCAGCCAGCGGCGTAAGCCTCTTTGAGATCTTCCTCTGGAAGGTCGTCCTCCTCCGAGACCACCTCATCCATGAGCACGCTGAGCTCTTTCTCCAGCTCGTCTGGCTCTTCAATCTCGACCTCTTCCGTCTCATGCAGCGTCTCCAGGTAGGTCTGATAGGCCTCCTCATCCTTCTCAAGATCTTCCGGCTCTTCATCAAAACATGCCTCATCATCTGCCACCACATGAGCTCCCGATGGCCTTGTCCTCCACTTGGGCTTAGCAGCCATCCTTTCCACCGGCTTGGTACTCACTGTACCTGCTCCTCTGTAGGCGCGAAATGGCTGAGGTGGCGGTGGTCGTCCCGGCAGACGTCGCTCATCCTCGTGCACCTTTCCACACCGATACCTCAGAGCACGCTCGATGTCACTCGGGATGTAGCGGCCTCCAGCACTGAAGAAGACATCCAGTCTCTCTCTCCTTCCCAGCGAGCACTTGTTCAGGAGTCTCTGCGCCCATGCCCGGTCTGACATATAGCTGTCCGGATCCACCCTGTGGTACTGGGCCTTCAAGCGCTTCATCTGGCCAATGTACGATGCCACCGACTGGCCTGGCAGCCTGCGGTAGTTCATGAACTCTGCCTCTGCCCTCTCAAAGAGCTCCTCTTCCGTCTCTCCGAAGGCCTCGTTCAGAAGTCCCCACATCAGCTGCAGTCCGCCGCCCTCGTGTACTCACCGATGGCCCGCTGCTCCAAACAGTCCCGCGCATCCCTCTTCGTGCTCAGGTACACCAACATGGCCAGCTCCGCATCTTCCAAACGGTAGAGCTCCGCCTGCGCCTCGATTGCTTTCTTCCACTTGACGTACCTCGCACGGTCACCATAGAACTCCTCAATCTTGACCGTACCCAAGCTGCTTCTGGGTCGATCACCTCCCGCAGCAGCTCGCCTTCTCAAGTACGACTTGATCTCCGAGGTTCCGGCGGTTGAGCTGTACTCTTCATCTTCTTCCTCACCACCATCTCTCCACGGTGGCGGATTGACGTCCTTCTTCTTGGTTCTCCGGCGGCGATGCTCTTCGTCCTCATCATCATCGCCATCATCTCCTCCTCCGCCAGATCCTCCAGGGCCAGGTGGTGGCGGGGGTGGATTCTTCGGCGGCCTCGGAGCAGCCGCCTTACTCTTCTTCGACGCCTTAGCTTGGGTGGGCTTGTCTCTGCTTCCGGGATTGCCTCCGGTGTCTTGTTCACGATCTCCCGAAGGCCTCCGTGCAGCTCCTTCAGTGGGTTGCCCTTGTCCATGAGATGGCCCAGCCGATGAAGAGCTCGCCTCTTGCTGGCGTTGCTGCTGCCAGAGGTTGTAGAACCACTTCACAAACTCTGGCGGTGGAGCATCACCTTCAGATGCTCCTGCGGCATGGCCAGGGCTCTGCGCCCCAGGGCGATCACCTCCAGCGGCTTGTCCACCTCCAGAAGCCCATGGGTCATTCGCCTGAAGCGGATCCTCCTCCTGGCCATTGGCCGCACCAGCTGCAGCGGCAGCTCCATCGGCAGCCGCAGCTGCCTCCTCCTCGGACTCATCAAAGTCCTCGTCGTCGCCGGGCACCGGCTCCGACTCTGCGTGCGCTGCACGCCGGGTGCGAGTGGCCATCCGGGGCAGAGCAGCCTAAACCACAACAGCCCCAAACAACCCCTCAAAACCCGCTCCGCTACCAATGTGGGAGCGGCCCCAAAAGAACCAACCCCCAGAAGAGAAGTTGCCCCTATTAGGGGGACTTAAGCGCAAAGCAGGCAGCAACCTTTCTTGCATGCTAAGATCTGTGCACAGCTGCGGTTTGTCAACAGCATGCCATGCCGCTAGCAACTCACAGCATCTACATATACACATATTATGTGCACATAACATCCAAGTACTTCCGGTTCATCAGCCTCCGTTCCAAACAAAAGCCGCCCCACCCGAAAACGCGAAACGCGCGCGGTCCTATCCAGGTCACCCGCGCTTCCAGTTGCGCCGCCTTTCTCCTTTGCCGCTTCCGAGGCGCACAGCGTGCTCGTTGAAGCCGGCAGATTCTTACGGAGGATGGTACAAGGGGCTTGCCCACTTTTTCTGAATAGCGGGAATGAGCTTGTCGCTTGTCTCCAAGTTGGGGGAACCCCAAAGAAAGGTTGGTTTCGTTTTGGTTCCCCTCCTTTTGCTTAAGTCCCCTGGAAAAACAGAGTTTCCAGTAGTGATACATTCCCTTTAAACCCAACCGGGGAAAACACATATTCTTAACCAAATGGAAGTTCCCTTTATAACTAATCAAAGGAACACCTCTGGAAAAAATACACCCCCAAATTCGCATAAAAGTTCAGCTGAGCATTTCCGGGTCCATATCTCCAGCAGTTACCCGGCCCCCTCCATTGAAACAGTGGCTCTGCAAACAAAGGGATGCTGCCCGTCGTGTTGGTATGTGTCTAAAACCACAAGCTTAAGCCAAGGCAGCGAGTTGGCTTTTGGCCGGCCCTGTTAGGAATTGTCTGTGAGGGTGACGCCTTTTGATGTCCATAGAAGTCCGCCTCACTGTTTTGCTCGGCTGTTTCGGGCCCTCGCCATAATCCCTGAAGCATATGGCCATGGGTCAAAATCCCGTACATCCCAATCCCCACTAAAATAGGTTCTACAATGGGTGGTGCACCTACCCCAAAATGGGATCCCAAAACGGTTTTGACCCACGGCCATATGGCAAGCCACTCGAGGCAAGGGGCAGCCACTCGATGCATACATTGCGAAGATCCTTGATGCCCATCTCGCGGTCGTAGCGCATCTCCACCTGATCAGGTCCACTCCATCTCGGTATGTTTTTGTTTTCTTCTCCGAGTGCTACCTTCCATTTCCATTCTTTCAGGGATCCTTAGTTCTTTCTAGAGAACCTCCGGAAACCCATGGAAACGGGCGGTTTTCGAAAAGAACGATGGTTGGAAACAATATTTTTTGTAGGCACCCCCAAAACGGGGATGTGACAATGGGACAATGGGGGGGGGGGTCTCCGTTTGTTCCCTTTAAAGCCACACAACAAAGATAGGTATCAACTCCAAAAACAAGACGAGCCACAAAAAAAATGAGCCAGACTTAGACCCCTACTTTCATGAAGGATAAGGCTGTGTCTGGAGCCTGGCAATCTGACTAGGTCACTCCTATGGCCTATGCACTTTTGGTGGGTATTCGGAAAATCCATTTCCTGTTTCAACCAAGAATATGAAACATATATCTAAAAACCTGTTAGCCAATAGCAACCAAGTCATGGCTCCCACAGGAACTGTGATGGTTAGGATCCTATGACCATGAAACTGCAAAGTTTGGTTTGCCCAAACAGCGGCATACAAGGGCCCAAAGCCTCGCTAATTCATTTCCCTTGAAAAAACCAACCAGGGGCAACAACAACTCGAGAAGCAAAGTGAATCATGAGTAATGCATCCATGTGGGGTAGCACCTGGAAAACAAGGATTCCAAAACGGATTTCCAAACACACAACTGAACCCTCTGCAGAATAACCTGGACTTCACCACGGCGTGTTTGTGGGATTTCCTTCTTTCGGGAGCCTTTCCGGTCGCCACGGGTCCGTGGCCCCCAGAAGTGCCAAAAGGCAAACTGGGCACAGCTCCGCCGTGGAGTGTTTCCATGCGCTTCATGGGTCTGGCTCAAAGTGTTTATCTTGGTTGACGTCGGAAGGGGAGCACAAATTTTAGAATTTTAGCAGTTAAGTGGTTGGATTGCCCACTAAACCACAAAAAGCAAAATGTAAAAAAAAAGTTTCCCAACGACAACCATGCTATGAACCAAGGAGCCGGACATAGTGGATTTGTTTTCCACAAGCTGGGTCTTGGGAAGGGCCACAGCCACATTGTTGGGAAACACTGAAAACGCGCAACTCGTCATATTTCTGTTCATCGTGCAGCCTCAAAGGCACCGCTACCAATCCGAGTGACGGAATCTACGGCGGTCACCCTTGCCAATGAGCTGCAGCCTTGGAAAGCACATAGTCCAATCTGGGTCACGGAGTTGGGAATGGTGCCAATGAGCTGCAGCCTTCAAAAGCACGTTCTCTAATTCTAGTCGCGGAGTTGAGAATAGTCATGCTTGCCAATGAGCTGCATTTTCCGAAGGCTCTTTCCCCAATCTCAGTCACGGAGTTGGGAATGGTCACGCTTGCCAATGAGCTGCAGCCTTCAAAGGCACATCTTCCAATGACATTCACGGAGTTGGGAATGGTCACGCTTGCCAATGAGCTGCATCCTTCAAAGGCCCAAACTGCAATCTTAGTCACAGAGTTGGGAATGGTCACGCTTGTTAATGAGCTGCAGCCTTTGAAGGCAAGACTTCCTATCATAGTTACGGAGGTAGGGATGGTCACGCTTGCCAATGAGCTGCAGCCTTCGAAGGCACTTGCTCGAATGCGAGTGACAGAGTTGGGAATGGTCACGCTTACTAATGAGCTGCAGCCTCTGAAGGCACAAGCCTCAATCGTTTTCACCTCTCCAGGAATTTCCACCACCAATAAGTCTTCCACTTCGCAGCCGGAGGCTTGGAAGCTTGAGCACACTACCGGCTGGATGCTGAGGAAAGCTAGGACTTCTGCACCTGGGATGGCCTCTGACACTAGCTCCTCTTTGTTCAATAGGTGCTTGTCTCCAACAACCACCTCCACCGAGCTCATGTTGCGCTTGGATTCATCTTCGCAGGGCAGCCACGCATGCAGCTGCCTCTTGAATTCACGGACGGTCATGTCTGCCGGCACTTCAAATGCTTTTTCTGCTCCAGACAGCTGCCGCACCGTGATCTGTCTTGCCATCGCCGGTATCAGGAAAGTAAACGAACTGCCGTGCTGGAGGGGTGAGTGGATGCTTTCCGGCTTGGCTGGGCAGGTGTCCATGTTTGGAATGTGGCACTTGGGTAGCTTTGCACAGCTTTGAGCAATGCTTCTAGATGTACTGGGTGGATTTCTGGTGGATCGCAAAGAGGCGCTCACTAGCAATGGGGAGATTCTGATATGCATTCGGGAACTCCAAAGAGTGACAGGATGGGCAACAGAGCCGTGACACCTTTTACATGATCATGAAACTGCAACGTTCGAAGCAGGGGCAGCATACAAGGGACCCGGAGCATAGCTAACGCATTTCCAGTAAAGCAACAAGGGGGAATTGAATACCGTGTCCCACGCAGGGTAGCGTCTGTGAAAAAGGATCTTAAGAGACAATTAAACCCCCTGCAAAATCACATTGAATTTACCAACCCACATGTGCAGAGGAAACTCCTTTCGAGATTCCTGATTGAGTGCATGCTGTCCGGCTTGGCTGGGCTTGCGCATGTTTGGAATGTGGCAGCTGTAGCCGGGCTTGGCTTTTAGAGCCCTTGATCAATGCGGTTGCCGGTGTGACGCCTTGGCAGTCTCCGATCGAGGAGAATCTCCCCAGCGAGCGCCCCTTTCGAGTCGTCACAAGATTGGTTTGCTTGTCTCTGATGGGAGGACCCCACAAAAAAAAGAAGCAGTTTCCCTGTGGCGTTCCCTTTAACCAACCATTCAACCCCAACAAGAGTAGCCTCCAAAAGCCTTATGCCAACCCAACAGATAGTATACCACACAAAAAGACGCACCCAAACGGTGGACATTCGTAGTGTCACAGGGGATTAGCATCACTTCCAGCTGAAAAAGCTTGGTAATCCCTCCCTCCCGCCTTCTGTCGCAAGCTCTGCAGAGACCAGTGCCTGCGCCATTTTTTGAGTGGTTGTTGCATGGTCCGGAGACCTGGTAGCTCCAAAAGGCTCTCTCTTTCAAGTTGAAAATTAGGAACTTACCCCTTAAAACTCCAAGCCCTGGGGAAGTTAATCTTTTACAGACATATAGCCCATGTTACCCAACAAGTTGAAAAGTTGTGTTTTTAAGAGGTAAGTCAAGGACAATTAGGAACCAACACAGACACACACACACAAGTTGTTGCTGTGCTTTTGTATTTGGCCACCCCCAAACTCGAGTCCTGGTCCCGCACTCACTCAGAGACCCGGATTCGTTCGATTTTAGGAAACCTCCCGCTCCTTGGGCCCCTTCCGGCCATTGCTCAGTGTTTCGAAGAGACCTTGATCATTCAAGAATCGTGCGGGAACCTGCGCAGACCTCGATTGCTGTTGACCCCTGCAAAAAGCGAATCACTTTTTGGGGGGGTTTGGTGGAAAACCCAACTTGATTTCCCAAAAAGTTAAAAGCCTAAAGATCCAACCCAATGGCAGTTAAGAGACGATGCTCCTCTTGTAAAGTTCACTTCAGTGGCAAGCGTAAGAAGGAAGCTTGGATCACTCGCGCTCAGGATCGATTGCCGCTTTTGTTTGGAGCACCGTCGAAGTGGATGCTCTCGAATGGATGTTTCATAACCAGCAAAACCGGGTATTAAAACGGTCTACCCAGAACCATGTAAAGAATTAAGAAGGCGGGATCAGGCATTACTAACCTTCATCTACCCGGGTTTTGATTGTGGCTCATGTGGCAGGGGCAATGCCTGCCAAGCCTGCCAAGGATGATTTGCCGGGGGGGGGCGGGGGGGGGCGGGGGGGGGGCACCCATTCTCCTCCCTCCCATCTGGATTGGCCAAAAAACACATCAGAAGCCAAGCTGTTTTTTTGCCACGATGGTCCAAACCCAAAAAGTGACTAAAGCCCAACAAAGGAAGCAATTACAAACCCAAAGGGGCAGCTGCCGGATATGTTCTTAACAGTGGGGCCCATTTATTGGTTTGTTCTTTTTCAAGTAGCATAGTGTTTGTTTAGTCTGTTCTTTGTTTTTGTTTGCTTGTTTTTTGGTTTGTTTTCGCTTGCTTTTGCAACATATAACACCCAATCCAGTGGTTTGAATTAACAAACACACTGGAATCCGAATCGTTTGGGGGACGCAAATCAATCGGCCAGGTCCCTCCAAGTGGAAATCCTAGGAATCCCGTGAGCAAAACAACAACGCGCCACCCCAAGCCAGCTCAGGGCATGTTCGAAGTGATTTCGCCATGTTCCTGCGGTAACTGGGGTTGGCCTCCATACCATGGCTAGGTCCTCCAGTAGACAGGTTAAAATAAGCGTACCCTTTTCTCGTAAGGGAACCCTCCCCCCCAAAAAGGGTAAAAGAGCAATACTGGGGACCTAATTACCATGGTTGTTCAGAACAAAATAAGCCTGGAACCCGAAAGGGACCCGCTAGACGACGACCCGTGCAATAAGCGCATCCTCTTAGGGGAGGTGTTCCAAATGTGATGAACCCCAAAAGCGGTCACCCCTCTATTCATCCACCAGGGTAAGGTTGAAAAAAAACCCTTTCAGTGGCTTGATTTTTTGGTGGCACGGCTGCTTGGAGCCAAGAGCGCAGCCCCGCAAAGAAACACACATCGCAAAACCTTTTGACTAGTTCGAGACACCAAAAAAAAGACAAGCCATCGGGACCTTTCGGACCACGCAAACTGACCCTGGTGGGGGGGGAGGGGAGGGTTTTTTTTTGGGGGGGGAATGGTTACGTTCGTGGTTACAGCGAGGGCCCAAGAGCGTATGGTAGAGCTAGATGGCCGAAAAAGTGCCATGCACCCCGCTGTCGGTGGGATCCTTTTCAAAGATTGTGCAGGCGCAGAATGATCGCTTTTGCATCGTTTTGTCTTCGGTTCCTCCCAAACAAACTGTTTAGTCCCTGGTGATCGTTTTTGCAATACCCCGTCTTGATAATTCCACACGCAGGCCATACGAAACAGCGGTGTTACACCGGGCTCCAAGAAGCCTTGTTTTTGGGAGGGATGTTGCGGCCCCCAACCAGAGGTGACCTTTTGGACAAATAGATAACCCTGGCAAATGAAATAGCACCCATCTAAACCAGTGGAACCCATCCTAAAAAGGACACCTATGCCCCCAACCCCCCCCCCCCCGGCGGCATGGTAAGGCCCCCCCCCCCCAACCGCCTGTCCCAGTGCGGGACGTCCCGCCACAGTGCGAGGACCTGCGAGTAGACGTGCTCCACCTCCACGAAGCCTCGCCGAACAGCGAGCCGACTCGACGGCGCATATAGCGCTTCCTTTGCGCTTCAGGGCTTCGAGGCGAAGCAAAGACTGCCTGGCGGTCTCCATTTTTTTTTCGCCAGCCAGAGAAAAAGGGGGCAGGGCCCATGAATTTTGGCAAGGGAACCCACCTAGATCGCATCAAGTTGCGATCGCTTTCTTTTTTCAGTCACTGTTGCGATCGGTTTTTGGGGCTTTGAGTGCATGGAAAAAAAACGATCGCAACTGGCGATCCAGGCAATTTGATTTATGGTCATGGAGACTCCAGGTCCCCGAATCAACGTTTCATCCTGGTGGATTCCACTGAAACGAGACATTTAAAGTTCCACTTGTGCGAAGGTCAAAGGGGAACTTTTTGTTTTGGGACCCCAACTGGAAATCGGCTAGGTTGGCCTTCTACGGGACCTAGAAGAACCTAAACGCAAAACACCAAAGGCTTGAAAGGTCAGCCGGCCGACTTTTCATAGGGCCCTGCGCAAAAGCTGCAAGCGAGCGCCGCATGCAAGCGCAACTTGCGCCAAGTCTCTCCCCTCAAGATTGCCTTTGTCTTTTTTGGTTTCTCTCAAACAACCACCACACATCGGGTAGCCTTTTGTTTCACCCATATGGGCGTGTCTCCAAGCTCTCTCTTATTCTCTCTTTTCTTTCCCATCGGGTGCCAGAACCCAAGCTGCATCCAAGAGATGCCAGCGTGCACATTGTCGTATGCAAGAAATTGGTGATTTCAAAAATCGGGGCCCACAGGAGGTTTCCCTGCAAAAACCACCAAGTTGATTTCTGGGCTGCCCTCAGATCCCCTGCTAAAAGTTCAACTTTTAGTGGGTTAAACGGAAACTACCCCTAAAAACTAAAAGGCTTAAAAGTTAAGGGGATGGGTGGGTTTGCCACCAAGATTTGTTCACATACTTAGCCTCAGGGGGAAGGGAATGCCACCCCTGGGCTCAAGCCTGGACAAAGCGGGGGGGCGTTTTCCAAATGCGATCTACCCTTGAAAACGCGACGGTCGCCAATGTTTGGAAACGCCCTGGGAGGAATTGACGCTTAGAATTGACTTCCTGAGCGGATTTGCCCAAACAAGTCTGGACTTGCTATCTGCAGTGGCAAGGCATCACGGGCTTAGACATGAAACTATGTTTCTCTCCGACTAGGGGAGCCCCCAATATGGCTGGTTTCATGTTGGTCCCCTTTTAAAGCTACACCAAAAATAAGTACCCTGAAAGCAACACATACACACAGACTTTCCCTTACAACCAACCCAAAAAGGGTACCCGCCCCAAACAAAAACACCCCGTTCCCATATCTGGACGTTTAGTCAGTGTTCCCCCCTTTTCTCCCTCTATTTGCTTAAGTCCCCTGTACAAAAACATTAAAAAAATGAAAATCCAGTAGTGATAGATTCCCTTTAAAACAAGAGGGGAAAGCAAAGACTCTTCATTTCAGCAAATGAACCGCAGATTGGACGTTTTGACCATTGAGACCACTCACTTGTTCAAAGGACCTGGACATAAAAGGTATTCCTCCACTAAAAATGGACCAACACAGGCAAACCAAAAGGTCAAAAGGTCGGTTTTGAACAACTGAGGCCACAGCACTTCCCCTGGCCGAGGGGCAGGGGATCAGCTCCTCACAGCGTTTGAGTGCCTGGTCGATGCCGGAAAGGAGCACCCGCAGCAGCCCCGGGCGGCAGCCCTGACGCTTTCCGAGGCAGAAAAAGATGGCAACCCGCCAGGTCCTCCAGTAGTTTGAGGTTAGAATAAGTTGGTACCTTTTTTTGTTTCTTTTCTTTTTATTTTTTTCTGTAGTTTATTTTAGTAGGGGAACCCTCCCAACTAAAAAAGAAACTGCAAAAGTTGGCACCTAGCTGGGGACCTGGCCCAAGTGGCCCGGAGCTCCTTGAGTTGAGGATGTTTTGGGGGGTCGACAAATGAAATAGAAAGCACGCCCTGGCAGGTTTTTGTTTCATTTGTTTCAAAGGTTTCAGGTTTATTTTTGGTGTCGAGCACAATTTTTCTTGCACAAACTGAGGTGACTTGCAGGTTGTTCCAATTGTGTCTACAAATGGCTAGCTTTCACTGAATTACACGAATCGCTCCACTCCAAAAGTGCGCAAGACCCCTCGAACCCATCACCAACCCAACACTTTGCCCGCAGACTCCTTCAAAGGAGGGGGGCTGGGCGCTTTCCGCCGCCGCTTTCCGCCAGTGATGCTAAGCTCAACGAACCGCAAACTTGAGCTCGGGTCTGGCATGGAACCTTTCTGGAAACCATTCCCCTGCCCGCCTACCATGTCCTTACAATGCTGGTAGCTCCAGAAGGCTCCCTCTTCAAAACAGCAAACCTGGATACCCCCAGCTCCGCAGCTCCCTTTCAACCGCCAGCTGCCATGTTGGTTGGGACGTTAAGCTTGCAGGATCTGTCAGCATGCCCTTCCACAAAACCAAGAAACATGATCTTCAATGCGCCCACCTGAACGCGCGCTCCCGATTCCTTCCTTTTGCTGAGGGATATTGCTCCTTTTCCCTTGTTGGTATAACAGGGAGTCTTTCACAACAGGACATAGTTGTACTTTTTCCAGGGGACTTTATCAAATGGAGGAGCCCTATCTTCGGGTGCCCCCCTTTCTGTGGATTCGAAGGGAAGCCCAAAAGGAAACCAATAGGAAGCAAAGGTTTCGGCTCTCTGCCCAGTTCGGACCCAGAAATACAAGGGGATCACCTTCGGCCAATGCACACGCTTGCCAAAATGAATAAACCAAAGCCAAAGGCTCTGGTCTCCGGTCGATCCGCTTTGGCCGCTCGGAAAAAAAGAGAGACCACGCCACCACCAAGTTACGGGTTGTGGGGTGGAGCGCGGCATCGCGGCATCGCGGTATCGCGTGCGCATGCGCGCATGCGCGCCTCCGCGAGTGCTTGGGCGTCCAGCACAGCGCAGCGGTAGGCCTCCCGCAGGCATAGCCGAGTCGTCGCATTGCCTTCCTGGCCGAAAATCAGTGGCCTTCCGGCCCGAAGAAGCGAAGAGCCCCGAGGCGGGGAGTTTAAAGGGGCACCTAAAGGACGCAACCCATTTTAGGGGTTGCCGGTTTGCCTTTTTTAGGGGCATCCATTGGAAACAACCCTAACAAGGGGTTGCCCAAATTTAAGATTCACCACAACGCACATCTAAATGCGTTTTTTCTGGGTGCCTTCTAATAAAGTACTTTCAACCCCTCAATAAGCCTTAAATGGTACTAAGGGAAAGTCTGGGAAGGGACGCCGAAGTGAAACAGAACCGACTGGGGGGTTCGAAATCCCACGAGTCTGTCAGGGGACATTTTAGTAATACATCCTCAAGTCTACACTTTATGGTGGTGCAACGGGAAGCCCCACGTGGTGGTTGCCTGTTGGTACTGCGACACTTTGAATGAGGTGATGCTAAAAAACGAGGAATCGCCGCATATACTTTCCAACAATCGCGGAAGTGGCCAGTGGCCCTTCTCAAGATGATGATCCTCTCAAAGCCCATATAGGGTGACGAGGTGTATAGCTGCCACTAGGGGGAGCTGCGCGTGAGTAACGCACTGGACTGAGCTGTTCAAAATGGAGTGTTGGCCAATCCCACTCCACACAGTGATCTCTGGGCTGCCCTCAGATCCCCCGCTAAAAGTTTAACTTTTAGTGGGTTGACTGTAAACTACCACTAAGCACTAAAAGGCTAAAAATCTAAGGGGATGGCTGGGAGCCACCAAGATCCTTATTGGCAAACCACTGCCCTTTCCTAGGTCCTCCAATGGAGAGGTTAGAATAAGTTGGTACCAACTTGTTTCTGTAGTCTATTTTAGTAGGGGAACCGAATCTCCCCCCAGAAAAAAGGCTTCTAACAGGGCACCAATTGCTGGGGGACCCAGATCTTCACAAGATCGCAAGCAGCCACATGGACTCACGAGCTGGGAAGGGAGCCAAGGAGCTCAGGACTTTGGGTTAGCGACATACTGTGGATGGACGCGAAATCCTCTTAGGCACCACCGTTCAGAAACCCTGGAATGATATGATCCCCAACGTAAATACCAACAAACGCTATGGTTTCAACCATGGTTTCTTAGGTGGTGCGAAATGGATTTCGTAACCATCCACAACAGTAGCTCAGGCCATGGAATTGTCAAACCTCCCAAGACCAAGACATGATCCAGATCTCCCACATGCGTGGCATGGAATTGTAACTCTTCAGGGCGGAACTGCAGGCATTGCGGCTCTCAATCTGTGTTAGTTCGGAATGAGTTCGAGCAATTCCGGACCATGTGGGGCATCTCGGGGGACCAGTTTGCATGACTGCCTGGAAACTCTTCAACCTGCTCATTTGATCGCTGGCCCTGGCAACTGGTGATTTTCACGGAAGAAACCGCAAATGTCCGGAATGGAAGCATGATACTGGCACCCAGCACCTGGAGAAGCAATGCTTTTCTGGCACCAACGCGTGTAACACACCTCATAGAGCACCTTTGAATTTCCAGCAACTTGGTTCTGCAAGTTGGCCAACGCTACCCTCGTCAGCCACCAAAATCCCAGTTCACGGGGGAGGGAAGATCCCAATTCCATTTGTGCCCAAAGGAAACTGGAACCCCAGATCCAAAAAAGGGAGTGTTGTCTTTCCGGCATATCACTTGCACAAACCCGGGCCCCCTCCCTCACTGTCATTTTCTGCGCCCCGGCCTCAACTTCCAGCCAGTCCTGGCGTGTGAATGAACCGCGGCTGGGGTCCCAAAAAAACGGAGCCCAAGGGCCCAGGCCGAGACCAGTGCAGGACATCCTCGCATTTGGTGCGCGCCTGCTTAGAGGACAGGAACAGTTTCGTGGTCAGCTGGGAAGGCATGTTTCAGGAAAACTGCCGACTGCTTTTTCAGGGGATGCCGGAGGGGCCCTTGGGCCCTTGGAAACTGGAAGGGAGGTGGTTGGCGAAATGTGCAAGGGACGATTTCGTCTTGTGATTGACAGTGCTCCAACCACCTGCAGCATGGGGTCCATGAGAAAAGAACCGTCAAGAACCTTCATCACGCGTTTCGCTAGCGAAGTCGCTATACGGCTATAGTCCTGCAAACCCATGGATGAAACCGCGGCACGAGCTGTGATGATTCTCGCCGTTCTGGAATGACCAGCAGAGCGGAGACGGGGGTCTCCCTATCATTCCCCTTTAAGCATCACCCCGTCCAAGAGAAACACACTTTGAAAGGGACCACAAGCTGATGTTCAAAACCGCCAAACGCAAATGAATCTGGAGAAAAAAACCGACCCTCTTGGGGATGGAGTCTAAAGGGAAACCAACTGGAGAAACAACAGTTTCGGCGTTTCGGGTGTCCTCACATACTCAGAAAGGTGCGACATCACTCCATGCCGCGCCCTGGAACACCCACCTTTTCGGGATCAAAGCAAATTGCAATGCCTTCAAATGCAAGAGCCTCCGCTTGGCTCAAGTCCCAAGATTTCGAAACTTCACCCATGACTCAATGATATGGGTCCAGCCACCGAGCTGACTGTTCTTTTGCTTTGGCATGTCAATTTCCCCCTTCTCCAACCTGGTTCACGCGCTTTTGACGCGTGGGCACTGTAACCGCAGTCCGTCGAGACAATGAAATATTCAACCTGGGCAAACCATCACCGCTGGCCTAAACCGTACCACGGCTTTCTTGCGGCCTTGCAGGTCTCTCGGGTTTGGCCCCCTTTTGAGAGTGCAAGTTGAAGATATGGATCTCGCAGCGGAGTTGCCCATATTCTCCCTCTAAGCCCATCTTGTAGAAACTGACACTTGCTGCAAATTGGCCCAGCTGAGGCTTCATGCCAAACTGAACATATTGGGAACCCAGTCAAGGAAGTCACCCAACATGTACCCGCAGTAGCGGTGTTGCTTGCCCAGATCGTTGAGGATGCCACCAAGACTGACTTGCTCCTGACTCTTGCGCGGTGGCTGCAGGTCAAAACAGGCACCCTTTGGAGATGGTTTGGACAGGGAAGCAGCAACCCAATTCTGTGGGAGGAGGTTTTTTTGTGGCACATGGCATGGAAGCAACCTTGTTTCCATCTTGGACACAAGTTGGAGTTTCAGAGCAAGCCTATCTTGCCTTGAGCTTTCGAGAGACTCAAACGGCATGCCTGTATTTGGTAACAGGGCCGTGAGCCGTAAACTGAATGAGCAGGGATTGAACTGCTTCCAGTTCCTTCACCCGCGCGCACGCGCCTTTGCCATCTGCAGCTAGGCCCATGAGCCCAATCCGATGCAGCACCCAATTTCCCCCGTGTCGCTCCTCCACCAGCACCCGAACACTTTCCGGGCTGGACACATCCGCGACCTGCATGGAGAATGCGATCTGGTGCTTTGTGCCGTTGGTATGGTTCAGGAACCCAATGATCTCGTGGCCGCGCCGCTTCGCCTCAACATCCCAAGAAGCTCCGCCAAGCTCCACTTGCCCGAGGCGTACTGCCTCAGCTTTGCCTAAGCGATCCTGCGTGCGGCGCCAGTCAACTGTCAACGACGTTTGCCTTGAGCCTCTGATCAACGACTCATCCTCTGAAGCCATGTCGTCATCATCGAAGTCGATTTTGTTTTGAGCATCCGCAAGTGCAATTGCAGGCAGGAATATCCCGAAACCTGTCCCCTGTAGGAATCACCAGCGTCCTGATGGGGGCAGTTGTGGGGCTGGAGGTTGATTGGCCAATTTCCGGAGAGGCTGCCGAAAAGGCGCAGCGTCAACAGGGGGAAGTGGATGAGGCCGCCGGGTCTTTGCGGCCCATGTTCCCATGGCCCCTAAAGCGAGCAGCGTGCCGACCACTCTCCAGCTGCACGTCAGTTCCAACAGGAACTGCACTTCATGGCTGGTGCCGAAACCGAGCGAATATAGCTTCTGCCCCACATCGGTGCTGCTTTCCATCCCGGGTGTGCTGAACAGCCAACGGCTCAGCCATACTTTGCCTTCTGGAGTGCCAGGCTTCTGATCGCTCATCCGAAAGGCGACCCCAACCCAAAAAAAAAAAAAAAAAAAAACTTGAGAGGCAACAGCTGCTTGCGCCACGCGCATCATGCGCTTACTAGCGACTAACTGCCTCCAACGTGTAAGGGCCAACGATCATGTTAACCCGCTAACTTAGACAGACTTAACCGGCTTCAAGGGCAAAGAAAGGAAAACTCAGAGAAGAAGAACAAACATGTTCGTCAAGTTTGGACATGCTACGTGAGTCACAATCAAAACCTTGTACAAAAATGGTGAACCCGGAACCATGTAAACAATGAGAAAGGCGGCCGCAACTATTTCCGGCTGGGACCCTTGCTAACCTTCACCTACCCGGGTTTTGAGCACGTGGCTCACGTGGGTTGCACAGAATACATAAACCCTTGGTTGACGTTGAAAGGGGAGCAACAATTGAAATTTTAACAGTTAAGTGGTTGGATTTCAACCACTAAACCCCC